GGAAATACGGGAAATATTGTGAATTCCCATGGCATGGTGATCTGTGACCGTTCACACCTTTTTGAAAACAGCTGTAATAAAAAGAAATAAAAAAAATTGTTTCTTAGATTATCTTTATTACCTCATGACTGGGTTGGAGATCACGTTACCGCGACATTTTTCTGCCATGACTAATTCACCTATCTTCAATACAATTCAATATAGTTATAATTATAATTGTTATTTATAAGTATAGTTATATTTATGTAGTCAATAAATATAATTGTAATTACTACCATTAAGCTACTAGCATTATTTCATTATTGTTCTTTTTAACCGATTACAATTCTTTTAATAATTAATTTAGAACAGGCGCTGGTTCTTGGTTACTCGAAATGTCAACAAATTATCCATTATCAAAATTTATTGGTATAGATATTTCTCCAATTCAACCTAGGTGTATTAAACCTAAAAATGCTGAATTTATTCAGGCAAACATATTAGAACGTTTACCATTTCATAATGATACTTTTGATTTTGTATTTCAGCGATTATTGTTTGCTGGAATTCCTGGAAATGAATGGCGATCTGTAATTAATGAGCTAGTTCGCGTATTAAAGCCTGGTGGTTATATAGAGGTTTTCTTTATTATTTTTTATATTAGTTTTTATTATTAAATTTCACTAGATACTGGCTAATTTTATTTATTTATTCATTTATTTTAGTTGTTTGAAGTCGATTTTCAATATAGTATCATGGGTCCTGCGACAACAAAGATTGTTAATGGCTGTAAGATTCTTTTTTCTCATTGGTCGCTTTAAAATATGTTTTGGCTGTATAATATTCTAATTTTATATATGTTATACATATTGTTTTTTAAGTAATATTTATATTTAATGAACGTGGTTTAGACAAACAAATATGTTACAAATTACAAGGTTATTTAGAAGAACATATGCAACTTTATAATGTTCGCTTTGAAATTAAAAAAAGTTACGATGGTGATGATGCTAAAAAGTTATGCAGTTTGGTAATGTATATGTTTTTAATATTATGAAATCATTTAATTATTTGCCTATTCTGTATATAAATCTTTAAATTATTTAGATGGCTGAAAATTATGCTACTTTTCTTAAGTCCGTGAAGTCAAAACTTATGAGTGTAATTGGCGTTCTTAGTGATGAATATGATAATTTGGTTAAAAATATGAAAGATGAAATAATTGAGTTAGAATCTTTTGGTACGCAAGTTCGTGTTTATGCTCAAAAAAAATGATAAACTAAAATGATAATAGTTATATTATTACATCTCATCTTTTGCATTTTAAAAATACACGTTAAAAAGGTTTATTGTCTAATACTGAGTCGCATGTGGTATATTATTTTATATTCAATTAGATTTTTAATTTTAAGTGGTGCCATGTATCATTCTCAATTATTAATTGTTTCCGTAAATTGATTAACAATGTTCCATTCAAATTTACTTGCCATTTTTGCATAGCATAATAAAGCATTCAAAAAAATACAATATAATATAGCATTAAACAAAGCAATTAAAAATATAATATTTTTACTAATAATTATTAATATGCACATAACCTAAAGTGTTTTACTTTTTTGGGGGCTGCTTGATGTTTGATATGTAGCATAAATCACTACATAAAATTTCAATATAGCAAACTTGTGAGTTTTTAATAATTGTATTTAGCAAAAAAATACAGGTTTCTGCAAAGATATTTTTGTTATTGTAAATGATTTAGAAGCAATAAATGGTAATTCGTTCATAATGCTAGAATAAAATAGAGTTTCTTATCAATAAGAACTAAGAAACGATATATTTCCCATTTAGAATAAAAGTAGCAAAAGTAAAAATAAAATTTAGAAGAAAAATGAAAAGCTAAAAATCAAATACAAATACATAGTATTTTGAGCTAAATAATTAAAAAGAATAATAAAAAGTTACTAACTTGTAGTTTATTGCACCAAATAAAAAATTTTAAATAGTAAAGTTAATTATATTTCAACCACCTTTTTTTTTTTTTTTTTTGGCATTGGTTTATAACTACTAGTTGTAAACTTATTTATTGCGCTTTTCAGATTAGTGTAATTTTATGCATCACACATCACGTATAATCGATTGCTGCTCAATTCCCCGAAATCTAGTTACCCTGATTTTCCCGACACCATACTATCGACAGAATAATTTATCTACAGCATTTTTTGTTGACAGAATAATTTATCTACAGCACTTTTTGTCGGCAGAATGTTTTAACATAACATCTTTTCGATAGCTTCTTTCTCCTACATACCATATTTTCGACTTTTCGACAAGACATTTCTTATATTTCTAATTTGACTTTTCTCTGCCACTAAGTTTTATTGAGTGCCTTTTTCCTACAACTCATTTTACCGACAGTTAATTCAATTTGATAGCATGTCGACTATTTGCATGTCGAAAAAAAGAATATTGAAAATATGTCATGTCAAGAAAATGTTTTCTGAAATATATCAAATTAGGCAATGCCTTTTTCGAAAAATATATCGTGTCAAGAAAAGGGGGTGCCAAAGAATGTCATGTTAGTGAGATGTCCTGTCGAAAAGATATGTCGTAGCTGAAACATGTACCAGGGATAAGATATCGAGAAAATGAGCTGGCAGGGAACTAGCTTCTGGGGAATCATGCCGTAACTCGTATAATCTAGTAACTAACCCTAACTAACCTATCACTAACCCTAACTAAGTAAGATCTGCACCAATAACGTAACTATTTCTGTCGCGGGTTTCACCCTTTCATATAAATTTTATATGTTTTCATATGGCAAAAATTTTCTATAAGAGAATTTTATTCTTGGTACAAAAATATTTTTAGCATTTTAAAAAATGCATTTAACTAACAAGCTTTTAATTACAGCATGCTCAATACTTATAAAATTTTTAAAAAATATTAAAATATATAATTTTTTTGAAAAGTCAATAGATAATTAAGGTTAAAGATATACTAAATTAGTTCACCTAAATCCAAGCCATTAAATTCTAAAGTTCCGATATTAGATAGTGATCTGCATCAATAATGTAACCATTTTCGCGGGTTTCTATCACGGATTTCACCCTGTCGTAAATTTATTATTAAAAATACAATTAACTAAAAGCTGTATATATGAAAAAATTTTTTAATAATAATATTAAAATAAATAATATTAAATTAATTTATATCTTATTTTATTTTTTATTTTTTTTTGGTATTAAGGTGAGGTCTTGCTCGTATCTTTATTTAATAATTTATATAAGTAATTACATGAAGCTATATAAAAATTTAATTTGTATACTAACAAATAAATATAAATTACATGTAAGAATAAAAGCTCGGACTAAATTATCTGCAACCTAAACCTACTAGAATGGTTAAGACTCACCTAGATTTGAATAGTCAGGATATGGTTAATAGGTGTGCTATGTTTAATTTACATAGTAGACCAAATATCTAGTTTTAAAGAAGCCTGTTCTAGAGGAAAGCAGGTATTAAATTTGGAATGTAAATGGTTAGCAAAGTTACAAGGGCAGCTAATAGTAGATATAGTTCTGTTTTTTCTAAAAGTTCAGGGTAAAGAAGAGTGAAGTAATATATTAGATATAGAGTGAGTAGGAATCTGGTAAGCTTTTTTCTAATATGAAAAGTTGGTACAGTATGAGATCCATATGTTGGTATAAGTAAGGTCAGAAATTTTAAGAAGTATTTGTATAATTAATTGTGAGGCTTGTGAATAAAAAATTTCAAAAGAGTTTAAAGATTGGATTAGAGGTTTAGGGATGAGGCCTTTAAGTGTAAAGTGAAGTGAATAGGGATATAATATAGAAGGTAGGGGATTGAAGGAAGAGTGAAAAGAGATTATATATATTAAGTTGTTAAGTTAATATAGAATAAGGTTGAGGCTAGCATTAGAAATAATCTTATGAATAGAAGAGTTAATATTTTGAATTAGAAGAGAATTGTTAGGACATATATACTAGTAGGAAGAGGTATTTAAGCTATTGCAAAAGAAGCAGTTAGGAGATGTAAAAATAAAGAGATTATAGAATAAAAATAAAGATTAGTTAGTAAAATATTTAAAAGCAACTTGATTTTAAAAGATTTTAAGTAATTTAGTTTGGAATTAGTAAAGTTATATGAGATTTTTTGGTTATTGTTGAAGTATAGCCAGGAAGCCTACTAATCAATTAGTTAAGAAAAGTGTAACTATTCTTGGGCATATTGTTGTGAAGACCATAATGCAATAGTATGTACTTTGTAAATTGTTTTAACAAAATACAGTACTAGTAGAGCTTTTGATATAAGTATTATTTTAGAGTAAAATAGAGTATAAATTGTAAAAATTTGTAAAACTGAATTGTAGAATAGGAGATGTAGAATAGTTATTTGCAAGCAGGTTAGCAAAGTTGTTAAAGAGATTATTTAAGTGGGCTTGGACTTTATAAAAAGTAAGTTAAATATTAAAGAATTTTAATATATTAAGAAGTATGTGCCAAATAGACCAAGTATTAAATTTAAAGAGTTTAGAAGAGTAGAGTAAAAAAAATTAAAGTTTGTTAAATTTGGAGATAATAGATTGTAAGTTAGTGAAGATTTTAATAAGAGAATTGCAAGGGAGTGTAAATATAATAGAATAATTGCTATTAGTTTAGCTTTGTAGAAAAAAGGCTAATTGAAGATTTAAGTAGAGAAGCTTTGAATAGCATGTTTGCTATAAACTTGAACCTAGCTAATACTTATAAAGCAATAGTTAATACCAAGTTGTTTAACAAAGCCATCTGTATAGAAAGTAAATTTATATTAAGAGAAATTAGATAGTACAATATAAGATAGTTTTTTAGAAGCTTTACTTTCATAAAAGATATTTAAAATAATTAAATCAATAATATTGATAGTAGAAAATATATAAAGAGTGTTTAATATTAGTAGAGTGAATAAGGTTAATGTAGTTGGCATTAAGGTAAGTTGTTTGTTAGCTTTTTTTTTTTTAAAAAAGTGGATAGAAAGAATAGTTGATACTTCTAAAATGCAACAACTAGTTATACAGTAGGAATTAAAGTTGCAACTCTGGTGAGAGTATAAGAAATTGGGAGTAAAAGGTAATAGTATAGAGTAGAAGCATTAATATTGTATTGTCAGTAGGTTATAGAGATTTTGTTAGATTAAAAAAAGGTTTTATAGACTTGGTTAATGATGTTGTTGTTATTATAATATATTAATATCTATAGCTTGTCAGTTTTGAAAAATAGGTTAGTTTGATATACAAATAGATTAATGTTAGTAGGTTAAAGATGAGAGATAATAGTACAATAGATATTATTATTAAGAATAGAATTTTCAAGATAAGTAAACTAGAGTAGTTTTTTCTTTTTAGAAATATATAGAAGTCAGAAGAAAGGTGTAACTAGTCTAAGAGAATGTTGTTTTTAGCAGAGCAAAGTTGTTTAAAATAAAGAATATTTTATAACAAAGTTGTTGTTTAAAGATATTGATTGTACTTGGGTAATTAAATAAGATATTCTACTGTAATAATAGTAGTACTTCTAATTTGTATAGCTATATTATCAATATTCACAAAATTAATATTCTAAGCATTTTGAGTTCTGAAGAGATAGCTACTTTATTTTTTTAAACTAGTAAATATTTTTTTAGAGAAATATTGGTTGAGTGAATTATAAAAGATTGCTTTCTATTTACTACGATCAAGTTCAAAAGCTCTTATAAATTATTTAATGTAATTAGAAAGCTAGAAAATAATATTACAATTTTATTTGCAAAAACAATTAAAAGAGATCTATTAAAATATTATTTAGCATCAAAGGCTTTATTAAAAGAAATACTAGAAAATAATTTGAGTAAGATTTCACTTACTACAGACATATAGACTAATAATAGTTGTAAAGTATTTATAGACGTTATAGCTTATTGGCTTAATAATAATTAGGAAATTCAATCTTATGTACTTGATTTTGTACCATTTAAAGAACTGTATTCTGAAATAAATATAACAAATACTTTAATAAGTATTTATAAAGACTTCAGTATTACTAAAAAAATTCTTGGTAAAACTATTAACAATGCTTATAATAATAATATATTTATTGAAATATTTAAGTCTTTTTTATAGAAATTGGTAATTCTTTTACCTAGCAACAAAACTATATTTGTTGTATAGCTTATGTTATAAATCTTGCTTTGCAAAATTTTTTGTATCAATTATATTTTGAAGTGCCAGATCAAGATAATAA